GGGGGTGCTGTTAAAGAGATTTCCCCATGGAAATATGAGGAGGAGGAGGAGGTGGTGGTAGAGAAAAACATGACATCAGGGGAAGGTTTAGCCGATTGGTTCATGCAGTTGTAACCAAAGAGAAGACCATTTATCTAATGCCAGCTACATATATTTTAATGAAAATACCTAGAAGAAAATAACCTCTGAAGTACAGCTTAAACCTAAAGTCTAACTCTTGACATTTATTCCATGAATATTCTTGGCACTTATAATGTAAGACCTTGTTTTTTTAGAACATGTTTTAAAAACATTTTTGATGTCCACCCACACTAAAAAATATCTTACATCAGCTAATATTTCATAGGAAAAAAATACTTGTAAAAGATAACTATGATGCACTTTGATACTTCTAATCTGGTATGGTCTTTTTAATTTAAAAAATGCTGGTCGAGACCTACTAAATTGACTTCATGACCCACTAATGAGAAAACTATGTTAGAGCAATTAGGCATGGCTGACTTCCAAGACCATAAGACAAGCACTAAGAGAGACCCAGCAAACCCAGCTCTACAAATTTTCGGAGGAATTACCAGGGAGACTATTGGTGAGAGATTTTAAAAGCTTCTTGTGAGGTTTAAACTGTACACTTTATTATTGTAATCCTGTAGGTGTAGGCAAACTCCTTAAGAAACCACACAAGGATGGAGAGACTACTTAGGGACATGGGAGTAATCTAGAATCTGAGAATCTGCATCTCATTCCGCAGTGGTCCTTGGAGGGAGAATAGACATTCAAAGCAGACCAAAGCTCATTCTTTGATGACAGGACCATGTCTTTATGTCCCCACCAGCACCCCGTTTGGTGCCTTGCATGAAGAAAGTACATAATAAATTGATCACACATTTTGAGATTAATAAATTCCAGAATAGTGGCTTTCAATTTTTAAAGGGTATACTTTCTTTTAATAAACATGTGCTCACATTTATGACCATATACCCAGATTCTGATCCTAGATCTTTCTGTCACCTACAATTTCATTGGTAGTTACCAATAGAAGAGAATGAGCATTTATTGAAAACCACCAAGCTTCAAGCAGATAGTATAATTTATCTCATTTAAATTGTGTAACAATTTTCTATGTTCCGACTGATAGAGAATAGGTAAAGATAACAAGCCAAAGGGAACCAAGTATAGCCTTTGCAACTGGCAGAGAAAACATCCAATACTCCTCAAAATGTAGGGGCTGGTAATATCTGAATTAGACAACACAGCTTATACCTGAGGTCAACATGGAATCTTTCTAATACTCTCCTGAATCCAGGTTATAGGATTTACCTGATTGACTCAGTCTACTGAGAAGGCCCCAAATCTACTTTTCCAATCAGCTGCGGACCTGGGAGTAGAAAGAAGCTTTAGAGCTGCAGTCTGGAGAGATTCTGTCCACCACTAAAACCACGGCCCCTGAATGACATGATCTCTGACCAGTCAGTTTACTCTTCCTCCTATGGGGAGAAGGGTATTAGGTAAGTGAAGAAAGGTTTCCATCAATTCCCACAGGAAGAGAGGGCAGAATACCAATGAAATATAGAGGGTGAGACTGAAAATAAACATTCTCTCTTTTTCAACATTTCCTATAGAAGATAATGGTATTATAATTTATACTTCTCCACTCGAAGCAAAGAGACTCATAATTAATTTAGGTAACGGAGTTCTCTATTGCATCCTGGTCTTTTAGTTACCCTCTCTACAGTTGGTTCATTGTGGTTAGTTGGGAACAGTATTGTATGTAAAACACAAGTTAAGGATCACAGGTGATAAAGATCAAGAAGCTCCAAATGGGTGGGTTAATAAGAAGTAAAGAAGCATTAGGTTGTTTTTGCGAGTTATGCTTATTCAGTATTTTATATCCACTCACAGTAACAAAATACACTAAGAGCTATTAAAAAGTCTTATTCTTAAAATTATGTAGGAAAAATAATTTTATGGCCCTAAATTTAATAGCCACAACCCCCATTTCCCATTGAAAGAATTGTTTTTGTAACACAGGTTTTCTCAGGGAGACAATAATCATATTACAGAAGACAGACTATATTTTATTCATTACATATCTGGTATGTATCTGACATGTATTAGACACCATGAGGGATTCAGAATTTAACAAGACATAGTTTATGTTCTAAATAGTCAATGGAAAACCAATAAGAAAATAACATGAGCTAATGGTATAGAGTTATAACTCAAACTGAAATGGGGTAAGTGCTCACAGTAGGGTGCATGGATATATTAAGTAATAGGATGATTACTAGTTTAGGGAGCAAGGATGGAGAGGACTTTGGGAAGGTCAGAGAGACTCGGGAAGGACTCAGGGAAGAGGTAGCTTTTGAGCTCAATCTTTGAAAGGTGGGTTTTATTTAGACATAAAGAGGATAGATAGGATAGGATAGGCAAAGGGAGTGATAAGAGAAAGGCACTGGGAGTGGTGTAAATCAGAAAGAGAGAATAGCTCCCGTTGGCTGGATTGTGAGGCTCACCAAGGAGAGCATGAGAAATGCAGGACTCAGTAGAGGCTATCTAGAGAACCCTTCGTGCCAAGTAAGAGTCTTTGGACTCTGTTCTCCATGGTGGTGCGGCTTTGTAGCAAAGCCGGGAACAAATTGCAGGATCTCTTGCCTGTTTGGTATGTACAAACCTTAGCTTTTCCCCCAAAAGATTGGAGCTGCCGGGAAGCTTTTTGAGAGGGTGTCATAATTGTCCAGACAGGAGTCCTGTTTACCTGAGCTAGGATGGTGGCTGTGAGAACTGCAAGGAGAGAATGAATAGGAAATGAAATGTGGGTATTTCTCAGAAAGAACTGATGGAATTTGATACACTTGATTTCAACCCAGTAAGTGCCATGACTCATTTACTTTATATTTAACAGAGATTCTCCTCAGCAATGTAATTTGTAAATCATTTCTTATCAAGAATAAATATAAAATTATTTAGATGAATACCAGTTGACTTTAACCCATTAATTTTCAAGCGCCACTTATTGTGCTACTCTAGCTTCAGAGCTAGGCTACACTTTAGAGAGCAACTTCCCCAGGAGTTTCAAACCTGGCTGTCACCTCAACTTGCCTCAAGCTGTCCCTTTTTATTTCTTTCACATATAGGGCTGCTTGTACCATTTCCTTGGCACAAAGGGTTCCATAAGTATAAAATAGTTTGAAAAATCGCTAAGTAATCCAAACTTTATAAATGAAGGAACTGGAAGGACACTACAATTTCTCGACTTCAGGTCAGATCACAAAAGAAATAGATAAATCCCCTTTCAATATGCGAAAATTTCAATTTCTCTTTCAGTGTTGTAACCCCTGCTGTGTCATTATTATTCTGTTTTTCATCCTAGCATAATATTAACATCAGAGCTAGTTATAGATTTATCAGTATTCAGATGTGGAAAAATCAATCATTTACAAAAAGAATGCCAGCATCTTGATGGAGAGCTGCAGAGCTACTACTGTGGGAAAAAAGAGATTCTTGCCTGGGTGTTCGTTATCTTGTTTAATTATTTGTGTGCAGTACCTTTTTATTCAAATAGCTAATATTCCATTTAAAACTAACATTACAGAGTCAGATAATTATGAATTTCTGTTTGTGGCTGGAATGTTTTGTTTTGTTTAAAAAAAAAACAACAAAATGATTACAATTCACTAATCCTCATGGGAGGTTGTTGGCATAATCAAAAGATAATTTAGAAATCCAAAAATGGGTCTGAAGGGTCAAAGAGAAAGATAAGTAAAATGTATTATTCTTTTAATAAACTCATACTCCCTGAAGAAATCTGAAAAATGCTAATAATATTACACAAATTATTAAATTTCTAAAGAGGATTAATGGAGTGCAGCTTTGGCAAAATTTAGTTGAGCTCTTTTGGTATGCCTCATATTTTGTGATGACTCTATTGCATGCTTCCTCCTCACACAGTACTAGGGTTTCTCAAACTGCACACACAGATCAGCAGGGTATCATATCAAAATTCGGATTCTGATTCAGTCAGTCTGCATGGGGCCTGGGATTCAAGTGATGCTCCTGGTCCAGGGACTGCGCTTTGAGTAGCAAGAATGAACATATTTCTCTGCTCTGATTCCATGCAGTCTGGCTATCTTCTGGGGATTCTTACATCATGCTGCAGTCAATTTTTTTCTCGAACAGCACTTCCTGAAATTTTAGGGAATAGTGAGTATTAATGAGAGGATAGGGTAGGGTCTAGAAATAGACCCGACAAATAGGGCTAGGACCCTGAACAACTCTGCTACGGCAGTTCCATGTTTTATAGGTTCGACACATAGGCTGATGTTTGAATAAAGAGCTCCCATGCTTAAAAAGAGAAAAAGTCTGAAAATGATGGCTCTAGACTTTGCTATCTTTTCTCCTCTTTAAAGAAAGCTAATATTTGCTGATAACTACAATGTGACAGGCCTGTGCAAAGGGATGTTCACACATTTGAGAAGCAGTAGAGAAGACAGGATGGGATCCAATAACCGTCTCATTTTACCTAAACCTAGGTTATTTCACATACATCGTGCTTCCCTGTCCTGCTTCTATGCTGTGTCTTAGCCTCAAGGGGTCTAGTGCTCTCCTTTCTCCACTGAGAGCTAAATATTATGGGAAACTATTCAGCATTTGCTAATGGACTCTGTAAAGAAACAGAGGGGATAAAAGTTCAACGTATAAATATGAATTATATTTCTATATGTAAACAATGAAAAATTGAAACTAAAATCTAAGAAATACATACCATATATAATAGCTCCAAAAATTGAAATACTTAATTATAAATTTAACAACTATAACTATATAACAACTGTAATTAACATGCTGTAGTTGTTATATGTTCAACTGTGAAATGTTGACAAAAGAAATCAAAGGAGATCCAAATAAATGAAAAAATATACTGTGATCATGATTTGGAAGACTCAGCATAGTAAACATGTCAGTTCTCCCAAAGTTAGCTATAGATTTAAGAAATATCAATGAAAATCTCAGCAGAATATTTTTGTATAGATTATACATGCTGTGTATCTATAGACAAGCTTATTTTAAAATTTATGTGGAAGAGAAAAGGAATTAGAAGAGCTAAAATATTTTTGCAAAAGAAGAATAAAGTTGGAACTCTTTGGTATAAGATTTCCAGGACCTACCATTAAGCTACAGTAATTAAGGCAATTTAGAATTGGCAAGGAGGTCGACACATGGATCAATGAAAGAAAATAGAGTCCAGAAATAGACATATACAAATAAGGCCATTTGATATCTGACAAAAGTGATTGACAAAAGTGATTCAATGGAGAAAAGATAGTCTTTTCAACTTCAACAAATGGTTCTGGTTTTGGAACAGTTAGCCTTTCATATGTAAAAACATGAACTTAACTATCTTCACACCTTACTCAAATACTAACTCAAAGTAGATCATAGAAGTAAATGTGAAACATAAACATACAAAATTTTAAGAAAAAAAATATAAGAGAAATATCTTCATGACCTGGAATTAGATGATGACTTCTTAGAACTGAAACCAAAAATATCACCATAAAATAAAATTTTAATATATTAGTCTTCATCAAAATTAAAAACTTTGCTGTGTCAAAAATACTGTCAAGTGAAGAAAAGATTTGAAAGAGAAAAGATTTGCAAATTATGTATCCAATAAATGACTTGTATCCAACGTATTCAAAGAACTCTCAAAGCTCAAAAAGACAACAAAGACTCAAATTAAAAATGAGTAAAAGGCTGAACAGACACTTCACCAAACAAGGTATAAAAATGATAAATAAACATATAAAATGACATTCAGCATTATTATATATTAGAGAAATACAAATTTAAACCATGACTCAATACTGCTGCATACCTGTTAGAATGACTAACATATAAATACTGATGATACCAAGTGCTGACAAGGATACAGAGCAACTGGGACTTTCATACTTTACTCTTGAGAATGCAAAATGATACAACCACTCTGAAAGTGGTTTGGAAGAGTCTTATAAAGTTAACATATAATCCAGCTCTCCTACTTCTGGATTATTACCCTAGAGAAATGAAAACTTATGTCCACACAAAAACCTGCATACAAAAACTCATAGCAGCTTTACCACTAACAGTCAATGCCTAAAGACCACCCAAGTGTTCTGTCTTTCAACAGATAAATGCTTCAGCAAATTGTGATAAATTCATACAATGGAATACTATTCGGCAATAAAAAGGAATAGATTATTGATACTTGCAACAAATTGTATAAATCTCAAACACAGCATGCTAAGAGAAACTATCTCAAAAGGTTACATATTGTGTGATTCCATTTATATGGCATTCTTAAAGAGACAAAATGACAGTGATGAAAAACAGATCAGTGGCTAAGTATAGGGGGAAATTGTGACTATAAACAGTGTGAAGAGTTTTTGTGGGGTAATGGAACTCTTCTGTATGCTGTTTATGATGGTGGTTACATAAATCTATACATGTGTTAAAATTCAAAGAACTGCATACCAAAAGGAAAAAAAGTAAAATTTATTGTATGATCATTTAAAAATAATGTTAGCAATAAAAAAGACACAATGATGGAAAACTATATTTTAAAAACTTTTCCTGTTCTGGTAACAATATTTTTAGAGGTCAAACTATTTCTGCTCAAAATATTTTTTCAAATATGAAGGCATAGAAGAAAATGTAAATTTTATGTTCTGTGGAATTTTTTCTGGTCTATATCCAGGAAATAGATATAGAGAAGCAAGTTCCCTGTGTAAAACACATAGACAGAGGAAATGGAAGCCCAAGAAATCTTAGAAGACCCTCTACTTCCTTTAGTCAGTTTGAGAGGTGAGTGTTGTAATAGTCAGATTTGCAAGTGTAAAAGGGCTGAAAGCACTGAATGCATGAGTGGCTGGCCCATCTAGATCAACAGAGAACAGAATGTATTATTCTTTGATGACTGGAAACTTTGCAGATGAGCAAAAGGTGAAGGCATTCTAATTTTCAATTGCTTATTATAATATTTATATCAACTTTCATTAGTCTTCTCTCAATACTATTAAGTCAATATAGGCAAACAAATATTACTATCACTTCACGGAACTATTTAATAAAAAGTAATGTATTCAAAGACTAAAAGTAGGTGTCAATTCATCCCATTTCTCTAGTACCTCAAAACTGGGGGTGTGGAGGCTTGGCAATTTAATACTACTGTCCTGTAGTGTGTGTTGTGAAAATTGTAGGTATAACAAACTTCTAGGTCAGGAATCAGCATACTAGGCCCATGGTCCACAAGCTAAGAATGTTTTTTACATTTTCTAAGGGCTGTTAAAAAAAAAGAATATGGGACACACGTGATATATATCTTAGAAAGCCTAAAGTACTTATTGTTTGTCCCTTTATAGAAAAATAAATACCGATTCCTGCTTCATTCTTGATTTGAAACAAAACAAAACCCCCCAAAATCTAAGCAAGTTGGACTAGATAGGCACTTCCTCAAACTTATAAAGCGCTTCTACAAAAGAACCAATAACTAACATCACACCTAATGGTGAAAATCTGAAAGTTTTCCTCTAAGATCAGAAAAAGGGCTATCCACCATCCCTACTTCTAACCAGCATTGTAACAGTAGTCCATCAGTGAAATAAACAAGGGAAAAAAACTAAAGGCATTCATATCAGAAAGAAAGAAGTAAAACTGTCTTTCTTCACAAATACATTATAATCTAAACACAAAATCCTATGGAATCCACTAAAAACTACAATAAATGAGCCTAGCACCGTTATGAGACACGATATATAAAAATTAATGGTATGTCAACATATTAGCAACAATTGGAACTTTAATTTTAACATTTTCAATAATATCAAAATATGAAATATTTAGGGATCGACTTCACAAAACAGAAAATGTGACAGAAAAGAAATTGAAGAAAACCTAAATAAATGGAGAGATATACTATGTTCATGAATTATAGAAACAAATATTGTTAAAAAGTCAATTTTATCTAAATTGTTGTATAGATTCAATGCGATTCAAATTGAAATACCACTGGGCTCTTTGGATAACTTGAAAAGCTGATTGTGAATTTATATGTAAAAGCAAAAGGCTTAGGATAGCCAAAACATCTTTTTTAAAGAACAAAGTTGGAAAAATTACACTACCTTGTTTTTAAAAACAAGCAAACCCAGGGTAGCTCCATAGTGTAGTGGTTAGCATGTCTGCTTTGCATGCAGAAGATCCTAGGTTCACACCCCAGGTGGAGCTACGTACGGTACCTCGGGTGGGCCAGGCTCCCCACCCCCACCCCCAGCATGTGGGAGGAGACGCCCTACCTTCAGAGATCCAGTTCTTAAGGGGAAACGGCAACATCCATGGGTCAGGGGTGGAAGTGGGAGGAGGGGAGAGGAAAAAAAAACAAGCAAACCCATGAAGGCAAACCAGGGGAGGTACTGACCTTCATTGCACTTTGTAATTGTGAGGATAATCGAAAATATTTTCAGCTCTGATATTGCATTTTAAGATGCAGACTGAAAACATAAAGATGGGTGATATGTCTAAACAGCAATTCATTTTAGTAATGGGTAGTATTTAACCTAGAAGGTTTATTAAGGAGATCCAATAACTATATTAAAAATTATAAAAGACCATCAAAATAGGAGAGATATTTGGCTTATTCCGTGTAGCTTCAGAGAGAAAAGCCTAAAGATACAGGAGGCTGAGAAGGACCTATGCTTAGAACAAGGGAGACCTTGCTAAAATGGAATGGACAGCTTTTTAAGGTGTTGAACACACCATAGCTGGAAGAATTCAAGCAGATGCTGGAAGCCACTTTTGATGTATCATCTGTTGAAACTATATCAATGTTTCTCAAAGTGTAGTCTGAGGCCACTTGCATGGAGAAGTTGTTAAAAGTTTAGATTCTTGGGTCTCATCCTAGACCATAAATTTGCATCTCTGAGGATGGTACTTGGGAATCTGCACTTTAATAGTATCTACAGGTGATGTTTATGATCATTAAATTTGGAAATTGCTGCTTGAGATGACTGACAGGGATCCTTTTGAATTCAACAAATCTCTGATTCTCCCTTTCTTTTCCTAAAAGTCTCTGATGATTCATTTTGTTGAGTCAATATGAGAGTTTTTCTATAATTTGCAATTAATTCTGCATCTCAAACAATTCCATGGGAAATTTTAAATAGCAGGATGACTCAAGGTGTTGTTGTGCATGAGATTATTATTATGACAGAGCATCAAGACTGCATACTGATTGCTATCTCTGCTTTAATGCCAGGATTTCAGCAATCGGTGGAACCAACTGTAGCCTAACATCCAGAAAGAAGACCAAAGGAATGGCCTCACTACAGGGGACATATTGGCCATGACATAAACTACCTTGGGTTGTTGACCCAGTTTATTTTCAAAGTCATGACTCTTGGCTGGAAAAGTCTGCAAAGGAGATCCCTAAATATAGTTCATCATCTTGGGGTTATATCCATAAAAAGAGTAACATTTTTTATTTTTAAGTTAAAAGAGAAACAATTACCACCTGAAATCCAAATATAGTTTCGTGGCAGGAAGAAACATACCATTTAGCTGCATTGCATATACAATTACATTCCCTGTGAACATTATTTCAACCATCTCTATTCTCACATCATTCCTTGCCATACAACAGCCACAGGAAGCATAGGAGCTCTCCCACAAAATAAAATAAAATAAAATAAAAAAATAAAATATATAAAATAAAATAAAATAAAATAAAATAAAATAAAATAAAATAAGGGACAACTTTTTTTTGCTCAATTCAATTTTATATGCAGTTTAATTAGTAGATGCATGTACACTTACCATGGTTGGATCTCTGGGTAAATCAATTCTTTTTATCATTATGAAATGACCTTCTTTATCTCTGGTAATATTCTGTACTGAAGTCAACTTTGTCTGATAATAATATGGCAATATCACCTTTCTTATAATTAATGTGCATATAATGTATCTTTTCCATCCTTTAACTTTCAACTTGTGTCTTTTGTATTTAAAGTATCTCTCCTGTAAATAGCATATAGTTGGGCTCTTTAGTGTTTTGCTTGTTTTTTACTCCAGTCTGACAATCTCTGCCTCTTAATAGGAGTATTTTATCCATTCACATTTCATTTAATTTTTGATATAGTTGGGTTTAAGTCTACTATCTTTCTATTTATTTTTTATTTACCCTCTTTGTTCTCTTGTTTTTCCTTTCTTGTGTTTTTTGTGTTGTGTTGTGTTGTGGGGTGTGTGTGTGTGTGTGTGTGTGTGTATGTGTGTGTGTGTGTGTGAGATAATCAAGTAATTTTTAGAATTTTATTTCACATTCTCCTCTGTTGGCTTTTTATCTACTCCTTTTTATATATTTTCCTAGAAAGTACAATATACATGCTTAACCTATCACAGCCTATGTTGAATTAATATTGTAATACTTTATGGATAATGTCAGTACTTTGTAACAGTACAATTCTATTTATACTCTGGCTTTTATTTTTTTCTTTTCTTTTTTTGCTATTGTTGTCATATATTTTACTGTTACATATGTTATAACTCTCCACAATAAAATCTTTGTTTTAACTATCAGTTAACTTATAAAGATTTTTTTAAAGAAAAATAGTATTTTACTATTACCCACATATCTACCATTACTAGTACTCCTTTCTTCCCGTAGAGCTGAATTTTCAAATTATATCATTTCCCCTTTGAGGAGCTTTAAGCGCTTTTAGATTTTAAAAATTCAAAAAAAATATTAGACAGTCAAAACCTTTAACAGTTTTTGTAGTCAGTTCTGCATATGCAAATGTTCTCAACTTTTATCTGTCTAAAAATTTCTTTATTTCACTTTCATTTTTAAAGATATTTCACTAGGTATAAAATTCTAGATGTCATGTCATTGTCATCTGGTTTCTATTGCTTCTGAAGTCAGAAATTATTGAAATTATTGCCCCCTATATATAATGTATTTTTTTTTCCTGTGTTAAGATTTTCTCCTTTAGAAAACTCAAACACTGCTGGTGGGACAGCAAAGTGGTACAATCACTATGGAAAACAGTATGGGGGTTTCTCAAGAAACTAAGACTTGATCTACCATATGACCCAGCAATCCTTCCACTGGATATTTACCCCAAAGACTTGAAAACATTGATCCAAAAAGATATATGCACACCGATGTTCATAGCGATACTATTCACGGTGGTCAGGTCATGGAAGCAACCAAAGTGTCCTACAACAGATAATTGGATACAGAAGATGTGGTACACATATACAATGAAATATTACTCAGCTATAAGAAAGATGAAATACTGCCATTTGCAACAACGTGGATGAATCGCAAAGTAAGCATGCTAAGCAGAATAAGCCAGTCAGAAAAAGTTAAAAACCACATGCTATCACTTCTATGTGGGATATTAATCTAAAAGCAACAAACAAACCGATTCATGGACATGGAGAATAGACTAGTGGTTACCAGAGGGTGTGGTGGGGGGAGAGGGAGAAGAATAGGATAGATGGGATAAAAGGGGTCAAATATGTGGTGACAGAAAGAAATCTAACTATGGGTGATGAACACGCGATGCGATATATATATATGACTTACTGTTGAATTGTATGCTTGAAACTTATTAGATTTTGTTAATCAATGTTACCATAATAAATTTTAAAAAATACTTATTAAAAAAAGATTTTCTCCTTTATCAGTGGTTTTCAGCTGTCTGCCTATTATGTTCCTAAATATGGTTTATCTTAATATCTATCTACTGGGTTCATTCAACAGCTTTGGATATTTTTCCTCTCTCTATTCTTTCTCTGTCCTCCTCCTGGAAATCAATTTAGACCTATATGAAGTCTGGATACTGATCCACATGTCATTGAGATTCTGTTCGTTTTGGTCCCAATCTTTTTTCTCTCTGTATTTCAATTTGGATGATTTCTATTGATCCACTTTCAAGATCCCTGATATTTTTTCTATTTTCTTCATATGCTATTAATTTCATTTAATGATTTTTTAAAAATATCAGATAACTTTTTTTTTAGTTTTAGGATGTATATTTGGTTTCTTTTCAGTCATTAAATCTCTTCTGAAATTCCTATCTCATAATTCCAATATGTGGGTTCTTTGTCAATCTGTTTATACTAATTGATTTTTCTCTTGACTATGTATCACAATAAAAAATTTCTTTGTGTGTCTAGTAATTTTTAATTTTGAAATGATATATTGTAGAGACTCTGTATTCTGTGATCTTATTCTGAAGAGTGTCAAATTTTGTTTAAGTAAGCAGTCAAAGTACCAGAGGCTTGGTCTTATGGTTTACTGGATCTATTTTCATTTTCTCTTAGTTTCAAGGCAAACCTATTAGTCTTGTTATATGATCTTTACTCTTAAGGTCTCTCTGGTGTTTCAATGGAAAGCCCAAATTGTTGACCAAACTCTTCTAACTTGTCAGGATTCAGACTACAAACTGTTTCCCCTGTGATTCCAGCAGCCCCAATCTTTCCTCAGCTCTTTCCACTGCCTCGATGTCATTTTCAACTTGGGATATTTAGAATCCTATTTATGCCTGTATTTCTCAGAAGTCAGTTAAGGATTTGAAGGGAGTTTATACGCAGAACTTACTGCCACCCTGCCTCTGATCACCATGGCTTTCTTCTTTCTGGGATCGCCACCCTCAATTTTCAGTCATTCTATTTATCTCACACTCTGTTCTCTGTGCCTTCAGGCCAAAGAGACTGCATTGTTTTTGCTTGAGTTCTAGAACCCCGTGTAGCATGTAGCATGGGATTCTCCTCAGGGAACACACTTCATTCTTTCATGGGTCAAATGCTTTTCTGTTTCTGCCTACTTCTGGTCACTGTCCAGTGACTTCAAACAGTTTTTTTTTTTTTTGTTTTTGTTTTTTTTAATATTTTGTCCTATATTTGCAGGTTTAGTAGTCCACTAAAAGCTATTCTTTCCTTGTAGGAATTGGGACTCCAATATGCAGTTTTAATGTCAATTATCCTAACTCCTTCACAGTATCTTTTTCTAGGAATTATTTCCTACCCCTGATTCAGGGATTACCACCTAATGGTGTATGAAATTGCTCCAAACTCCTTATAACTTTCAAATGAATTACTTTGTGCTATAAATAGCCAATCCAATTACAGATTTATCACTTTAATCATTTCTCTCTTTATTTTAAACGAATATGTTGTATAACAAAACTCAAGGATATGTCTAAAACAAAGATCCAATGAACCCGGTGTAACTATCTTTAGCCACAACAGCGACTTCTTGGTATAATTTGCTACTGGATTTTTTTAAAAGATGTTCTCATCTGGGCTCCTGCTCTACCTCTTCTTCTTTCCTACTAAGATAGAGTTGTCAAATTTACCTTATAAGTGAGGAGCCTGTTCTGTTCAGAACATACCGATTCAGCATTGTGATCACTTTCCTGTGAATTTCCCTTCATCACTGAATCATGACCTTCTTTATTCCAAATTATGCTTTTTTGCCTTAATAATGGTTCTTCAGCAACATTAGTCTTTCCCTGTTTTATCTTTTCCCATCTCTTTCAATCTTCAAACATCTTTATGTTTTGGGTATCTCAGAGATATCTTTATCTCTGATAAACACATGTTTTGTATTTCTTAAAAATCTGATTGATACTTTTGAACAAATTAGTTTAATCTGTCTACATTTACTGAGACTGCTATGTCTAGACTTTTTCTACAATATGTTTTTTTCTATTTATTATGTTTTTTCTTACCTTATTATCTTTTTCTTTCCTTCTTCTTAAATCACTCTAGTGTTCTGTGATCCTTTGTTTTATATGTGCTTTTTGGGGAATTATACATCTTTTTCTATTCTTTGAACATTACTCTTAAGTTTTAAAAGGCATACTACCTTAAAGTCTAAAATGGACCTATCTCTATCTTCCTCCTGAATAATATAATGAACCTGGAGTTTATAATTGCAGCTTCTTCTACTCCCTTTATCCATGTAATGTCATCTAGCAATTTCATTTCTTGTTATTTGAAAAACTCCCTAACTGATCTTTTTTTAATGCTTTTTAAAATTTACGAATATGTTTACATATTTTTTTGCTCATCGTTCCTTCTTGCTTTTTTACTTTGGGTTTAAAATTTCTATTTCCTGAAGTATATTCATTAACAGTTATTTTGGCAAGGGTCCAAGGTCAGCGTATTCTCTCAATCCTTATTTCTCTGAAAATGCCTTATTTCACTCCACACTTGAATAATAATCGAGCTTGATATATTATTCTAAGTCAATATTTATTGTCCCTCAGCATTTTGAAGATGTTCTCTTACCCTATAGTGTCTATTTTTGTCAACAGGAGTCTGCTCTCAGTTTAATTTGCAGCTCCACATGTAATTTTATAAAGTTTTCATAGTCCTTTATTCCACATATCCCTAAAATAGTGTTTTTTATTCTCTTTTTCAGAGGGGAGTTTACAGAGAACGGTAAGAATCTGATAGCAGAAGTCACTCCCATATTTCCCTCCATACAAGATCATGAGGTTCAGAGACCTCTTAACAATTCACAATCCTGTTGTGAATCTCTGCCTAGAACTGCTCTAAAACAAAAGAGTACTCAATAAGTATGTTTTGTTAAACTAATTAGTTAATGGATGCAAGTCTGGATAGAGGTCTGGATGAGTGAAGCAATTGAGCCTGGGTAATCCTGGGTATATGCCATTATTTCAGACATTCTTGTCTGTT